CCCCAAAACCCCAAAACCCCAAAACCCCTTGAAATAAATATCAAAGTATTAAAATAATAAGGATATATAAAATATCGATTAAGTAATGTCGTTAAAAATATTGTAACTTGAGAAGAATCTCTTAGAATAAGTCAAATCTATGAAGTATGAATGGCTTTAACTAAGAATGAAGGTTCTATGTGATCATGCTTTCTTCAAGAAGCTTTAGATATTCTAGGAAAGACTACTAAATGCCTTATTCAAAAGATAATAAGATTAAATGCTTGAATTAAGCATACAGCTATCAGAATCCGTATATGGACTTTAAACTATTAACAATGATAGTCCATTAGAGAAGACTGAAGCATTTGATAATTACCAACAAAAAATGAAAAACTAAATTGAATAAATAGAATTCAAGTTGACTGATTTCCTTATCAGAAGTTTCAATCTTCCCAATAATTAAAGTAATGAGATATACAAAAGTTTAAATAAACTAAATTAAGCTATTAATATTGTAACTCAAATTCAATAAAAAGCTTCTAGAAAAGAATATGACATTGAGAATATTCCAATGTATCTTGATTAAATAAAAGAGGAAAGCAAAGTTGACAATTTTCATTTTCAAACGATTTCTGAGGTAGAGGATTATGTTTATTAGGTATTACACAAGCATCGATAGCTAAATAAGGATAGAAAGGATGCATCACTTGAGGATTTAATGGCTGTAACAGCAACTGAGAATTCATAGGATTTGACGAATAAGATTAGGCAGCTCATTTATATGGATAATCAAAGAGGGGACTACTATAGCGATTCCTAATCTGACGGGATGCCTTCAATTATTCAGGAAACTAAAAATTTTGCAAATATGTTCTTTAATGTAAAAGATCTGAGCGAATCAATTGATGAGCTAGACCCCAAAAAAATAAAGAAAATAGAGTTTAGCTAATCAATTAAAAAAGAAAAATTTGAAAAAAGTCTACCATTCACTCATGAGAAGATTGATAGAGTTGTATTTTAAGGAACTTCTAAGAACAAAGAATTTAGCATCGATGAAGCAAAGAAACTTTTAAAAAAGGTCGTTAAAGATCGTAAAGTTTCTATATAATCTGAATAATCTTTTGAGGATCCAGGCATTTACACTGATCGAAGATATTAAGAGCTTAGCTCTTTACCCTCAACAATAGACGATCATTTTGCAAATATTTAGGTTGAATTAAAGCCTTAGAAAAATATTATCTCAGATGAGCAATCTTCCGATTTTTATTATAAAGGTTCAAAAGAAAATTTACAAGATACTGTGAAAAGATTTAAGCCATCTAATAAAAATAGTTAGGCTCAATCTTAATAGAACTCTGAGTAAAGTTCAGCTATAAAAAAACGAAAATTGTAGCCTGATTAATTTAATATGGAGCCTTAGAAAAAATCTGTGAGCAGACTTAAAATTATTGATAAGCCTGAGGATGAAGCACCTTAACTGCGAAGAGATTAATCACAGTAAAAACTTAATTCTAATCCATCTCATATTAATCTTGCATTGAAACTTAGGAGTAAGATGGAGTAACTATAGTAATAAGATTTGCCTAAGCAGTAATTGATTTCTTAAAATCAATTGCCAAGCAAATAATAAAATTAGGTTATGCCTAATATAAAAAATAATGAATTCGAGGCCTTTATAAGGGAAGACATATTAGAATAATAATAAATGCAAAAGATCAAATAAAAAAAGAAAAAGTCCTAGGTGAATAACTCTGTAATAATATCTGATAAATTTAATGTTGATGATGACAACAGCATTTTCACAAAAAATAAGAAAAACAATGATCATCATTCTAGTGGGATTGAGGAAAAGGAAAATCTTAAAAAGTCAAAAAGGAAAAATTCTAGTCTCAAAAGATAAGGCAGTCTTCCTAAAATTGGAGGACAAAATATATCTATGATAAACTAAGGTGTAAATCAATCATTATTAGGAGTTGATATGAGTTAAATGCATGTGAATTAATCTTACATACAACCTTAATACCCTCAAATATCTTAGAAAATAAATAATAAGAAGTAAATATCATAGATAGGCTCAACTTATAATGAATTCATTAATAAATATTTGAGCGTAGCAAATAATTAAAAAACTAACAATAAATAAAAGGAGGATAAATTTAAGAATAGTTCAGATTAGTTGAAAAGAAGTAAGTCTCAAGGAGGATTCAATAATTTATCCCAAAATTAAAACTAGAATTAAATTAGCTAAGCCTATGTGGTGAATGGCAGTAGGAAAAATAGTGCATCTAAAATAAAAGGTTCTGATAGCAATTAGAAGTAGATGCAAAGAAGTAAAAGTACTAAGAAGCATCAAAATCCTAATGAATAAAAGTAAGGATATTAAATAGGCTCGCTAAATGTTATTGGATCTAATGGGAGCGGGAAACTGAACAAATATAAATCAGCAAAGAGACTAGTTATACTGGATTAATGATAGAATTAATAAATTTCAATTCTGGAAATACAATTATATTCTCTCTTCAGGGGTTTTGGGGTTTTGGGGTTTTGGGG